CAGCTGTACACACTCCATATATTGCTGTATATGTTTTCTGCAGTTTTATATGCTATTAAAACTTTTGGTCATAAAGCATAGATTGCTCGCTGACAATCATGCTATTTTGGTTCAACTGCCTCATTTTCTTCCTGTTGTGTATATGTATCAAAATGAAATCTGTTCATCCTTTGATAACTCAACATGTCCTTTTTCTTGTCTTTTTTTCTTTGGTGCTGACAGATAGCAGAAGCTGAAATTCTAGAAGACCAGCTTTTGGTAGCTTTAGGACACAGGATTCTTGAACTGGTGGATAAGTTGGAAGACTTTGATTTGATATTGCTTCCTAGCTTTGAACTTGAGAGGCCCTTGCAGTTAGCCAAAGAAGCTATAGGCATCAGATATCTGTCTCCCTATGAGGTTGCTACCTGCCCGATTTGCCGTGAGGAGAAACTAGGTTCTCAGATGATCAAGGCAGGTTGTTCGCACACATATTGCTATAATTGCCTGACTGGGTATGTTGAAGAGAAGCTGCTGACCTCAAAGCTTCCCATAAGGTGCCCACAATTAAGGTGTAAATATCTTATTTCCGCTAGTGAGTGTAAATCATTCCTTCCAGTTAGCAGCTATGATTCCCTGGAGAGAGTATTTGCAGAAGCTGGCACGTCAGAAATGGAAAGATTTTATTGTCCCTTTCCAAATTGCTCAGTGCTGTTAGACCTTAGTCAGCACTTCTCTAGGGCAAGTTCATCAAGCCAGTCAGAACTCAGTTGTATCGAGTGCCCGGAATGCCATAGAGATATATGTATCAACTGTGGAGTGCCATGGCACATCATGATGGGCTGTGATGAGTACCAGAGCTTGCCTGCTGAGGAAAGAGATGCTGGAGACTTATCTTTGCATCAGCTTGCACAAAACAATAGGTGGAGGCGTTGTCAAAGGTGCCGATGTATGATTGAACTAACACAGGGCTGCCTCCACATGACTTGCTGGTATGCTCTCTGTGTATATCTACATCCTCTGATGCATGTACTGTCTAAAGAAAACTAGTCAATTTATGCATAGAAGTGAGCTGTCCTGTTGTCTAAATCTAAAGTATCCAATTCCTGAACTGAGGTAATCCAAATGCTAGTGATTAGTGACCCAGCAGAAAAGATGATTACTCCCTCCATCCCAAATTGTAAGTCATTTCAAGAATCTTGGAGAGTCAAACTTTTTCAAGTTTGACTAAAATTATAGAGAGAAACACAAAGATTGATGACATCAAATAGGTATAATATGAAAATATAACTAATGAAGAATCTAATGATACTTACTTGGTATGATAAATATTATTATTTTGTTATATAAATTTGGTCAAACTTGAAAAACTTTGACTCTCCAAGATTCTTGGAATGACTTACAATTTGGGATGGAGGGAGTATCTTTTAAAAGTACAGTAAACATTCCTGATTTGCTTTGACTACTAATCCAATATTGATAGTTGTCCAAAATCAATGGAAATGTGTTAGGTAGTTATATTGTGTCAGTCCGCCATATTCTCACATCTCTGTGAAAGGCATGGTTGCTTGCATGAAAATGTTCATATTCAGTTCAGATTGTGCGGTTGGTCTCCATAATTCTGGTTCCCAAAAACTACACTGCAATTTGTTGCATGATATAAGAAGCAACAAATCTTGTAGCTGATTGAGTATAGGACCATGATCATGTTTCTCTACACTAATATTCTGTTTGTATTGGGCATATCGGGATTCAGCCACGGTACTTCTTTTTAAGTAGCGAAGCATGTTTTGTGTTGCCGTCACACAGATGGCCATTGCCATTAAAACGCATGTACTAAAGATTGTTCATTCATAAATACATGCGCTACTCTTTATCTTGGTGCTAAACGTCACTTGTGCAGGTGTGGGCACGAGTTCTGCTACTCCTGCGGTGCTGACTACGCTAGTGGTGTGCAAACATGCCAATGCGTGTTCTGGGACGATGAAGCCATGGAGGCCGCCTCCGCTGAGCGATCCACCCAAGCAGCATCTGAGATCTGGGCATGGGACACGTTTGACTGCATGCCGACCGCCGTGGAAGGGTACTCGGAGCAGGAAAGGGCGCAGCTGGCGCTCATCCAGAGGTTCCTCGCCGGGGGTTTTAGCCTGGGAGACAGCCACAACCCCAACCCCTGCCAGTCGCCGCCGCGCTGCGCCGACTCGTACATCGTCGACACCATGAAGGACCTCCACCAGCTCCCGTGGCTCGAGCGGTTCGTGTCGGTGATCAGCGACACCTACAACGATGACTACATCCAATGAGTGAAGAGAGTCAGTTATAGATAGCAGTAAAGAAACGGCACATACCGAGTTCTCCGTTCAGAATAATAATATGTTTCCATGCCCCTGTCGATAATTGACGCAGGGAAAATGATATGCTTTCGTCATAAATACACTGGTGTTGTTTCCCCATTGTATGGTAACCTTTGGTGTTAGTGCATCAGCAAAAGAGTTCTCCATTTACAGTCTCGGTTATATGACTGTCTATTTCTTTCAAGTGAGTAATATATATCTTTGAGCTTTCTGAAATCACTCGTTTTGAATCAATCTGCAGCATGAGCAACTGCCTATATGATACCTGTTGTTCATTCACATAAGTGGCATCATTATGTTCTGTTGACGAAGGTTTTATGTTCGTGAATAACATACAATATTTTGGTTTGCTGGGCGCCACAGTTTTCAACGTCAGATAGCTCCAAGCAACTGGTCTATTCGCAAAGGTGCATGCAATCTTCAGAAATAAGAAGAAAAAATAAAGAAAAGGCTGTGGTGCCTCCATTATCCATACAAACTTTCTAGGATCCAACCAGTTATTGATCAAAATTGATCTCCTGTCCACTCAAACTTAAAGGTGATTTTTCACTACAGTTAGCTTGCATGGCGTGTCAATAGTACAGTACTGCAGTCCAATTGTACTTGAAGCAAAAGAACTACATGGATTAATTAGAATAAGCTGAACTGTTTAGGCTGATTAATCTAGACAGTTTTGCACATTGTATTGACTCCATGCCCTTGATGTGGAGGAGTGACCACAGCAAGTTTGTTCTAGGATAAGAGGGCACTCTCATTGTCATTGGTAGAAAAGAGAAGAGCATGCAATGGTGAGGTGTCAGTCTTAGGGCTCGTTTGTTTCCTAGGCATTCATACCCTGAATTTATTCCTACCAAGATCGCTTTACTAATTTATATAACATCTCATCATCTCGAACAATTTCACTCTAACCGAACGAGCCCTCACGGAGCAGTGAGCCTAGTGACTAGTGGCTCAACCCAGCCCTGTAATAGCCACAAACAAATCCATCTCCTTTGGGCCGCGAACTCCGCCGGCCTGCGATCTCCGCGGGCTGTTAACACTGTACCCCGAGGGCCGAGGGCCGAGGCCCAGGCCGGATTGCTATCTCCAATGCTGCCAGCCTTGGGCAGTTCGGCTTTCCGCTTTGCCCCGCTCTCCTCGGCGGCCGCCGCATCAGCCGAGGGTCTCCTCCTCTCCCCAGATTCCCTGGCGGGCGCCCGGCGCTGACCGCGTGGCTATGCTGTGCGGCACGGTCGCTCCGTCAGGGGGGACGGACGTAAGCGCGCTCCGCGGCATGGACGACGACGAGGTCTTCGCCCCACGCCAAGAGCATCGCCGCACCCTAGACATCCCGCCTCCGTCGTGCAGACGAACGTTGGCTGCCGACACTCACACAAGGTGTTCGACTATATGTCTCGACAGGTGACTTACAAAACTTCAATTTGGTTTCCATGATAACTACAAGTCTACAATTCCACAACTGCATTTGTTTAGTCCGACCAGCGTTGTCAGGGGTGGACTCCTTCGGCAGATTTGAGGCGAATTTGTCTCTCTGTGATGCATATAGTAGCAACCATCTTGCATACATTTATGTAATTCAGTGTGATGGAATGCTTTCGTCTCACTGCCAAATGTTAGGTCCAATCTCAATCTGTATGTTCATTGGAGATAGCATAAATGGATGTAGAGAGGATAATGCTTCATTCCAATGGCAAGATATGTTCTTTGGCATTCTGGACTGCACACGAGGGTTCAGACAACTGGCATGATGAACCAGTTGGTTCATTGTAATCAATTCCAGAACAGGTTTCTAAATTTTAGCCAGATCATGCCCTAAACCACACCCATCCCAATTGATCTGCCAAATTCGTGAAACCACTAAAATATGTGGTAGCCATAGTATACCAACACAGTGTAGCACCTTGCACTTGAGCTTTGAAGATTCAATGCCATTTCTATGCGCTTTGCACAGCAGTATAGAATTATTGAAGTGCCATCCTGTGCCAATGAATGGCCTACCTAATGACAACATATGCTCCACAATTCCCAGTCATACTGTGGATTTGTTTTATTGCTAGATATTATATACTCTCCTGACCTGCAATGTTAGACTTAAAGATGTCCTGTTTTGATGAAACCATCTGTGTTTTACCAACAAAAAAACCTGCTTTCAATATTTAATGCCACATGTTGATGCAGGCAACTCCATATTTTGAAAATTTTGATAAATCTTATCTTATGTTAGAACTTACAAAACTACTATTCTCTTTCTTGGTTTCCTCTATTTTGGGGAAATGACCTATCCTATTTGCCTGAGTTCCTTCTACCAACCCTGCCAAAATTCTCCAACTGGGAATATTGGTTTGCAGGCAACTGTTTGTATTTCAAGTAACGTGTTGCCATGCCATTTCTCTAATCAATCTGTTAATGCCTCCTATTACTGTTCCTTAGATGCTACATAGGCAATGGGGCGCTGGTAGGAATATTTTGGCCTTCCTGCGGACAACAAAACCAGAGCAAAGGATAACGTAGGATAATCCACATTGCTGTAAACCTGCAAGCTAAACACTGAAGATCCAAAGCAAGGATTTTTTTTTCTGGCATGATGAAGTTGTAAATTCTTACTTTGTTGTGCCAAATCTGCACTTGTCCTAATGCATTGTGATACCTGTTCCATTATAGTCCAAAATGGCGTACAAATCCATCAGCAAATATCATACGGTGGGGCTTGGGATCAACTGCTGTCCGCATGGCTGAAGATTATATCTATGGATGATGGGTGTCATTAGGTACTAATTTTCTTGACATGGATGGATCATTCTCAACCTGCATCTCCATTCCGAGTCTTGCCAAAAGGCTTGATCTGGCACCTAACTGGAAACTGATATATGAAGGATACTTTTATCCATCCCATCTTTATATCATTTGACAATTATTGTTTGAAAGAAACTTATAGACCCCCTTTCTCATATTTTGTTGAATTGATTAGAGGTCCTAAACCCTAATTTAAGAACAAAGTTAACTTCTTAATGCTTTCTGTTGCATGAACATGTTGTCAACATAGTTATGTTTGCAGTATACATTTCACTTTGGAGATGAGCCATTATATTTTCTTGCTACATGCTCACAAAAGATATGTCATAAATTTACCTGATTTGTTCATACGCCGTCATCACAATGAAGACTTTTTGGTATGTCCTTGTGTTTGCTCCATGGATGGTTTTCTTGTTACAATCTGGTTTCAGTTTCGTTTATTCCCATCCTTTTTTTTCATTTACTCTGATTGACATTATTGTTTTTATTTATTCTCTGATTGACATTACTGTTTTTATTATTATATGCTTTTATTTATTTAGATTTAGAATAGGCTTCACCTCCTAGCTGGTTGTTGCATCTCATGTACTGCACTGGAAGACACATTGGCCTAACACTTCATAACCCTTCCCCTACAACCCTCGTCAGTGATGTGTTCCTCATAGTTCAATGTCAGTCAATAACGTCTTCTCTCTGACAACAGATATTGGTTTCAGAATTATGACAGCCTCATGACAAATATGGCATGAAAGGGGGTTGTGTCTGTCACCATATCAGCAAGCATAGCTGATGGGAGGATTTGTCTATACCCCTGAATGACAGGTGCAACTACACTGGAAACAAAAGGGCTATCAAATGTACTTACCAGGATTAGAAAAAAAAAATTCATTTACCAATATTGAGGATGCTCAGAATGAACAAGAGGGGGAAATACATGAAGAATCAGATAGTGCTTGTGATGCAACAGGTTTTACATCTGATGAAGATGATGAAATTAGAGAGATAAGAATCAAGTACAAAGACAATTCTATCAAAAATGATGAGTGCAGAGATTCCAGTGGAGATGGCAGATGCAAGCAGTACTGCTCACTGTCCTCAGATAACCCAAGGTGGAAATGACCTTGATTTAGATCAGGATGCATCATATGATGAGGAAAGTGATGGTGTTTCAAATAGAAGGAAGTGCAGATATCAAATATTTAATAGCTGTGCTGAGATTCCTTTGCTGTGGACACATGTTTTAGAGGAAGGGATCAATTAAAGGATGCCATAGAAAGGTACACACTGAAGATGAAGGTAACTCTCAGATATGTCAAGAATGACAGAGAAAGGATTAGGGCTGTATGTAGGTGGAAAGGTTGTCCCTGGTTTCTGTATGCTTCGTATATCTCAAGGTCTGATTGGTTTCAGATTATCACATATGATCCCAACCATGCTTGCTTCCCAGAATTGAAAAATAAAAGATTATCAACAACTAGAATCTGTGAGAAGTATGAGAGTACTGTAAAGGCTAATCCATCCTGGAAGGCTAGAGCATTGAAGGAGACGGTACAAGATATTATGGGTGTAGATGCATCAGTCACAATAATTAAGAGAGTGAAGACAAAGGTAATGGATTCTCAGAGTGGTGAATACTCAAAATTATTTGACTATGCTCTTGAGCTGAAGAGAAGTTCCTGGAACTAGTGTGCATATTGCCCTTGATCCAGAAGAAGATGACCATGTTTTTCAGTGAGTTTACATATGTTTTGATGCATGTCGAAGGGGTTCCTTAGATGGATGCAGGAGAGTTCTTGGGCTGTTGTGGAATATGAGAATAAACATTCGTGGGGTTTCTTGGTCATCTTCAGAAAGATACCAATATACCTACTGGCGCTCAGGATGGGTATTCATTACAGACCAACAAAAGGTAAGGGGACCAAATTTGTCATGTACTTTTTAACATGTATGCAACTGTTAGCTTATAAATTGTGGAATAACATCCACTTCATTTATTTATGTAGGGCCTACTAAGTATTACTGATCAGCTATTTCCATTTGCTGTGCACAGAATGTGTGCTCATCACATCTATGCTAACTGGAGGAAAAAGCATAGGCTATAGGAGTATCAAAAGAGGTTCGGGAAGATTGCAAAGGCACCAAATGAGATGTTATTTACTCCCTCCATTCCAAATTATAAGTCACTTTGACTTTTTTGGTTTATCTATTTTGCTATGTATCTAGACATATTATTATATCTAGATGTATAGCAAAATGGATGTACCAAAAAAGTCAAAGTGACTTATAATTTGGAACAGAGGGAGTAATCATTACAAGAACAAGCTTGCCATGAAAAATCCTGCGGAATGGGTAGATTTGGAGAGAACAGACCTTATACATTGGTGCGGAGCTTGGTTCAGGCCTGGATGAAACTGTGAATCAGTTGATAACAACATGAGTGAATCATTCAATAATTGGATTACTGAAGCAAGATTTAAGCCTATCATGATTATTTTAGAGGACATAAGGGTCCAAGTAACAAGAAGAATTCAAGAGAATAGGAGCAACAGTGAGAGGTGGATTATGACAATATGTCCCAATATCTTTAAGAAAGTTTAGAAAGATCAGGCATGGGACCCAATTTTATCATGTCTTGTGAAATGGTGAAGCTGGATTTGAAGTGAGATAACAAATGGAGGTTCACTGTGGATCTGAAAAACAGTACATGCTCTTGCAGATTTTGGCAAGTCTCTAGAATTCCATGTCAACATGCTTGTGCTGCTCTGTTCAAAAAGGCTGAAGAGCCTAACAATTACGTACATATGTGTTTCTCAATTGAGCTATACAAGACGACATATCAGCATGTCTTGCAACCCGTAGAGCATGAGTCAGCCTGATCTGTATCTCCAAATCCTAAGCCATTGCCTCCTAGAGTGAAGAAAATGCCAGGTGCCCACCAAAAAACAGAAGGAAAGACCCTTTAGAACCAGTGAAATCAGGCACCAAGTCATCAAAAGTTGATACCAAAATTAGATGTTGTCGATGCAAAAATATGGGTCACAATTCCAGGACAGGCTCTGTGAAAATGGTGTTTATGTATTTCTGAATTTCCCCCCTTATTATTGTAATGTATTGTTTCACATAAGTTGACACTAACTTCTATATAACAGCAGGAGGACACGGGGTTACATAATCCATCACAACAAGTTGCCATTGAACCTGCACAATCCAAGCAATCTAAAAGGAAGCGTCCAACTACATCTCAAACCAAATATCGATCTAGCTTTAGCCTGGCTGCCTGGACATTATACTAGTGTTAGGAATTGTGTGACCAAGTAGATGAACACAATACATGATCAGTTGTCCTTAGTTCAATTCTTGCTGCTTTGCTGCTGCATTGGTGCGTTGCACCTTGTGGTGAGACTGCAGAGAAACAGACATTGTATTATCACAGTTCTGGACCCTCTTGCCACCCAATTTAAAGGCCAGCAAGGTAAACCTTATGGTGAGACTGCAGAGAAACAGACATTGTATTATCACAGTTCTGGACCCTCTTGCCAACATTAGAGTCTATGTTGTCATCTAAATCTTACAAGTACCTAGATACATTATTACATAAATGGCATAACATGTCTTCTTGCAGAGAACTACCTAATCACTTTGGTTTATTGAAGAACTGAAGGCTGAGCATTTCATTTGAAGTTGATTTGAAGAACCTGGGAGCCACAGTCTACTTTGTCTGAAGAAAGCAGCCATCATCGCTGTTATCCTGAAATTACATGCTGGGAACCACATCAGCGACTATGCTTAATTGTCTGTATCTATTTAGCTAAGTTGAAGGGACTAGTGTAATGCACTATGTTACAATATTACGTCCTGTCACAGAGGGCAAAGTGTTGGCAACAATGTTCTCTGAAGCTTTTCAAAATTGGTACCTCAAATCTGCTGCCAGCAGCACATTGCTACAAAATGATTCTATTTGCACGAGCGTGGGAGCGTGACATGATATGTCTAGTTTGTATCAATAGCTAAGAAGTTTACAGAAGCTATGAAAACTGAAATATGTTGCAAAGATTTTGTAAGACTGAGCAACCAAGAATGTGACCATCAGTTGTAGAAGACGCTGCTAGTCATATCGAAGTTTAGCATCGTGAGGACTGTAAGCTTCAAGGTGTTCTCTCTGAATTTTTGCCGCCCGCCACCTTACAGCCCTCAAACCCTTTTCTACAAGTGCCGATGATTGAATCCCCTCTCGAAACCCTAGACCCCCAGGTGGCTCTTCTCTTCTTCCACACCAGCGGCGTGCTTCTTCTTCTCTTCTTCCACACCAGTGGCGTGCGGATGGGTCGTGCGAGAGCGTGAAGGCGTGACACATCGTATGTTTGAGTTTGCATTTCTTCAACTGAATCGTGAAGTTCGAGATTGAAACTTTTTGATGTTCTTTAAAAAAAACAAATTTTTGATTTTTTTTGAGAAACAAAAACAACTTTTGATGCAAACAGGGTTCAGAAAATCCCCAATACTGAACAGGGTTTAGAAAATCCCCAACACTTTTTTAGGAAAATCCCCACCAAATTTAATGCGTTTTTTGAGGATACAAATTTGATTTGTTAACCTTTATTAGGATTCCATAACCGATTTGTTTGGGCCCTTGATGGATCTGATCCTCCAGGGCCTTCCATGACCCGATTTTTGGGCCCTTGATGCAGCTGATCCAACGGCTCAGCTAAAACCCTATACCCTTGACTCTGCACCCGACTCGTCCCCAGACGCATAGCAGTTCCTCCGCGCCGCGCCCGCCGCCGCGCCCGCCGTGCCCGCCCCGCCTCCGCCTCGCGCCCGCGCCCGCTTCACGCGCCCGCCCGCCCGCGCCCGCCCGCCGCCGCCGCCGCCTCCGTGCCGCCCGCATCCATCTCTCTCCCGTCCGTGGTTCCCTACTACTGAGTCTCCGACAAAGCGACAACAGATCCACGACTTGGGGGGGGCTAGGGAGGCGGGGCGGACGCCAAGATGAAGCCACCACCAAGTGAGCAAGCTTGTTTCTGCAGATCTCCGCCTCATCCGCCTCCAAGCGCCGCCTCTTCTCAGAGCCACCCCCGCCGGTGAACAATGACACCCTCGCGCCTTTTCCAACGGCAGGTAAAGATGTGTGAATTAGTGTATGTTTCATTTATTGGCAAAGATGTTAGATGTGTGAATCACTACATGGGATTGCTTGTTGTTAGGGATGAAACTAACAGATGAATATTGTCCCCTTGTGTTTTATTGCTTGTGTGTTAGATGAAACTATCAAACTAACAGATGCATGAGTAAAAGTAATTGAGTAAGGTCCAATTGCTACTGTCATTTTGATTCCCAAATGAATGTTTTTGTTTGGCCATGTTAATATAAATGTACAGCCATGTAAAAAAAAATCAGATATTGTCTTATTGGTGTCTTTGATTCATACTGGTGTCTTAGATTCATATTGATGTGTTCTATTCTTGTCTTGGCAGGATCTAAGAGGTCAAGTGAAAGCCCTGGTAAAGATCTTGGTATATGTCTGTCTGTATCATCTGCAAGTGCAACTCCTGCATCTAGTCCAAGTCAAGGTGGCAGTGCTGCTGCTGGTGGCAGTGGTTCAGGTTCAGGTGGTGCTGGTGGCAGTGGTTCAGGTGGTGCTGGCCTAGAAGGTGCTGGTGGCAGTGGTGCTGCCGTTGCAAGTGACATACGTGCTGCTGGTGCGAGTGATATAGGTGCTGCTGTTGCAAGTGACATAGGTGCTACTGGTGCAAGTGATAGAGGTCTTGTTGCTGCTGGAACAAGTACTGCAAATGCAATCATCGTTGAGGGTGATGAGCCTGTGCAAGAGGGAGATGTACCTTGTGGAAAGAGGCACGAGTCGTCCCCAGACGCTGCCCCCTCCCCCGCGCCCCGCCGCCGCCTCCGTGCCCGCGCCCGCGCCCATCTCTCTCCCATCTCCGGCGGGTTCCCTCCCACCACCGCACCAACACCTCCACCTGTGACGCCGCAGCTCCACTTTTCTTCCTCGTCTTCCGTAGCTCCCCACCGCCGGAACCGCGGCCAGCGTCCCAGCCCCCACAGCCGCGCTAACCCATCTTCTCGCGACGCCCCCGCCCCTACACCGCCCAACCGGCCTTCTCCAGCTCCCGGTCGGTGGAGACAAGACAACCCAGCCTTCCACCAGGCGCCCGATATCGCTGCCCTGCGGCCGCCACCGCCGCGGACTCTCCCTGTAAGTCGGCCGCTGATAAATCGATCCCCACCGCCACGGCTACCTGCTCCAGACCCCTCGCCACCTGTCGACTGGTCCATGATCTATCCCATCTCTGACGGGATCAATCAGGGTAGCTCCTCCACCGACAGCAGCACCGCCCCACCTGTCAATTGGCCCCTGTTGGATCCCGAGTCCGTCCCCGACGGCATCGAGCTGTGCAATTGGGCCACCGCTGTCAGCGCCACTCACGCAAGTGCATATACGTCAAGGGGCCTCAAGGTTAATTTTTGTTTCCAATTGAGGGGGGGCATGTTGGCTCTCCACACACGTTGCGAGGAGATGTCTGATCCATGTGCCACACGTCCCATCAAAATTTTGTCTGAGGTGATTTGCAGTCATTACCAACTGTTCCTCCTCCGTGTGTGTAGCACAGCCATCAACTCCCCGAGAGATTTCTTCGTCTTTAGCTCCCCTTATATGGGGGAAGATGTCAGTGTCCACAGGATTCCTAAGTTTCTGCCGAAGAGCTCGGCTGTGTCACAGTTGTTTGGCCTGCTCCGCGACCAGAGTGATTGTGACAAGTATGTTGTTGCCAACCTTGAGATGCTCAACCCAAAGAAGGGATATGTTGAAGTCCTTCTTCACAGGTGGTGGCCCTCATCTGAGTCTTGGTCGTCCAGGTTTTTGGAAAAGGTCACTCTGCCATCTATCATTGACATGCGAAAATGGCAAACCGACCAGGTTATTGCCTACCACAAAGACCTGGTGTGGGCTGACCTCAAGCAAGGCATTCTTTTTTGCTTCAAAAATCCTTTGGAGAAGGACACCGAGCTCAGAATTATCTATCTTCCACGCATTCCACACATGAAAAGCGTGCGACGACCAGAGACATTCATGAGTGTTGGGTGCTGCAACGGCAAGCTGAAGTTTGTCCACCTTGATATCAGTGATTTTTCTGAAGTTGTCACCATCATGACATTCAGTGAGTCGTCCTACAAAAAGGAGGAGCTATGCTGGTACAAAACTTCCCGAATTTACTTGAACTGTACAGATCTCTGGGCAAACATGCCCTTGAACTTGGAGGTGTCAGAATACCACATGCCGTGCTTCCCAGTTCTGCACACAGACAAAGACAATATCCTCTACCTCACCATTTCTAAAAAGGATAAGGATAACAAGCGTGCATGGCTGCTCCAAGTTGACATGAAGGCTAGAAAGGATAGCAAGGGTGCAAGTCCACACCAGGTTGACACAGAGTCCGATACCAGCACGGAATTCGACACACAGTTTAGCACAGACTCGGACACCAGCACCGAATCCAGCATGGAGTACTGGGCTCTAGTGGGTGTTATTGATTACCTAGGCTTTTGCCGCCATCAGAAACCTCCATTGATTCTACTTCAGGACTGACTTCTCTTGGTTAGGAATAACTTAGGATTTGACACCAATCTACTATGTGTTACCCACGGTGAGTATAAAATCTTGAGTTTCCACTCTAGTTGATGTTGAATACTGAAATCCTCCATTTGGGCATGTGTGTGTTCGCCCACTCATGTAGCTAGCATAGCTTGTTTTCACCTATTTGAACCACAATTTGACAAGCACTTGTAAACTTCAGGATTGGCTTCTCTTCTTTGGTTACCTGGAGTCCATGGCTCTGGTGGGCGCTACTGATTACCTGGGCTTTTGCCACCATCAGAAATCTCCTTACTCCATCGACTGCTTCTGATTGAATGTACTTCAGGATTGTCTTCTCTTCTTTGGTTACGAATAGCTAAGGATTTGACACCAATCTACTATGTGTTACCCATGGTGAGTATTGAAATCTTTAATTTTCACTCTACTTAATGTTGAATCTTGAAATCCTCTGTTTGGGCATGTGTGTTCACGCATTCATGCAGCTAGCATTGCTTGTTTTCACTGTAATACAATATTGGAACCACAATTTGGTCATTCCTTGTAAACCTTGCTTTCCCTCTTAATTGAACAGCAGAGATTTTGCCTTTTCTCTTCCAAAAAATCACAAAATTAATTGACAAATAATGCTAGAGGAATCAAATATAAATCAATATAAATAGGATGAGATGCACCCCTCCATGATCCAATCCAACTGTTATATGTAAATTCCCAACGATGTGATGAGAATCCACATAATAAACTATTGAGTGCAGTAGAATATGCTATGTGCATTTTAGTAGAAGTAATAACGAAGAAAGAAGGTATGATGTGTTCTTGGATCATTTAACTATAGTTCTAGAGATTCTGTCCAGTATATCAAATAGGACGAACTATACTACATAATGTGAAACAATTGGAATATGCAGGAAATTTGATTGTAGCTGACACAAAACCTTGCATTAAAAAAAAGTAAAACTATGTCCCAATTGAGTATATCTTGATATGAAAAGGAACAAATCGTACCTGAAAAGCTGGCGCAATCCGTCAAGGTGGTTTGTGATGATAGAGCATGAGAGATGAAATAAAATTGGAGGTGTAAAAACTAGATAAGGTAGGACTTAGAGATTATTCAAATTAGAGAAATATATTGTGCCTTAAAGCTAGCCAAATCTGAGTCATTGTGGGACAGTAATAGTTATGGATGTTCTGTGCTTCCTATAGCACTATGATTGTGATTATTTTTCACAATTGATAATTGTGCAATAGACAAAAGATGCATCATGTGATAACTAAAAAGCTTGGTAAGAAAATAAATGACTGGAAATATATAGTAGGAAATATGACAAATAATCAAAGGGGAAAATTGCTTTGGATCAACCAAAAAAATGTAAACAAGCAAGTTCTTTGAAAAAGACTTGTCAATAATATCGGAAGTATTATCCTCAAGAACAAAATGTAGTTAAAACTGTATAAAGCGTAAACATGTCATATTTTCAAAAAAACATCGCTTTGTATAAAGGTACTGTGACAAATGCTTATATATAGTTCTTGCTTGTTTTCTCTTGTAGACCCAACAGGGATGGATTGGATGCTGCAGACTGCAATAGGCGGCACTAGCGAAGACCCATCCTTGATCATATAACTGATTCTTCAAACTAATCCGATAGGATGGAACTGGCGGATGCATGAGGCGTGGGGAGGTCTTGGCATGAACCTCACTGCACTAAGCAATATGTAAGAGTGGAATATTTCAGATTTATGCAAAAATTGCAATGTTATATGTGCTCTTGTAAAAAAGATAAAGACAATAATGAGATATGTGCTTGAAATTCTGTATCTGATTATCTGCACAGACGAACAACGGCCCTGTTAGAGATGGTTTAGTCCACAAGAAGCCCCATCAATATATCTCCTCTCCACCAGAGCTATATATGAGCAATATATCTCCTCTCTATCATCGCTATATATATGAGCAATATATCTCCTCTCTCCACCATCGCTATATATATGTATCAAATATTTATCCTCTCCATCACGCTATATATGATCAATATATATCCTCTCTATCACTGATATATATATATATATGATCGATATATATCTCCTCCACCATCGCTATATATATGATCAATGTATCTCCTCCGCATCATCGCTATATATATGAACAATCTCTCTCCTCTCCATCATCGATTTATATGTATGCCTTGTTTCTCTGTCCTGCATCAGCTGAACAAGCAGCTTAACTCGTCGTCCGGCTGGATGATGAACCTGTCCTACCCATGACGAACACATGGACTCTGCTTAATTGGTCTCTCCATGCAGGTTGATCATGCAAGGCTCAAACACAAGGGAATTGAATGAACATTTGCCTAGCTAAGCTATACATACAAGACAAAGAAAGAAATTACCTGGAGCAAGGGCCTGCCAGCTTCTCCGTCAATGCTGTGCTAGCTCGCTCTTAGGCAAAAACCTTGGAACAGGCATACAGCGGTTATGACTTCTGAGAAATGTAGTCACCCAGGTGTAGTCACACAGGTTATCACATCCGCGCTGGCAACACCAACCCACGGCATATACAAAGCAGGCCCACGTCATCAGGAGTGACATCAAACCCGGAATAAAATAAATGGGATGAGACATAAGTTAGTTCAAATTAAGCCAGGCTACGTCTTGTCAAGCATTTTATTTTATATTAACAACGAAGCATCGAGCCCTTGTCCTTGTTGTCAAGCGATTGCGAATAAACAACAAACCAAGTCGTTGTCAAAAAAAAAAAAAAACCCCCAAGTCGGCAACAATTGTCTCAAAATATTCACCGCGATAGAAAACAAAAACTAAAATTCAAAAGGTTACAAAACAAAAACCCTTGCAGCAGGTTGGCCACGAAACAAACACGATACCTGTATAGACCCGGTCCCCTCTCTCTATATAAAATTAATTAATACCATACGGCAAGTCGGCAACGTGTAATATTTATTTTTACCAAAAAACTAGAATTCAAAGTGAACGACGAATTGCGACAAGCGAAAGCCCGCAAGAAATCGCGCGCGGGGGTGGTTGGAAGTTTACCTGAACCTCTGCTTATTGGCTGTTTCGTTTTTCTTGTACATATAAAATACATCTCTTGTCTTCCTATGAAAGTTTAATTTCTACTCTTCTTCCCTAGGCTTGGATTTTTTTCTTTCTGTCTCTGTCCTACGGAATTTTGAATTTTTTATTAAGCAGGCAGCCAAGGAAGGCGGTAGGAGCCAGAGCCAGAGACAGAGCTTGAAACCTTCGCTGGTGCTTCTTCGGTATCCTTGGAGTTTGGTTGGGCATCTGATTCTGGTTTCGATCTTCTCCCTCCTCCGGCTGCCATGATCCATGATGGCCTGGCTCATCTCATCTCTCAGTTGAAAGCATGAGTTCTTTACCTCCCCTTGCCGATGGATAGGCGGCAGGCTTTTGGAAGATGTCGGATACGCCTGTTTGTCCACAGGATCACCGGCTCAGGTGAATGAACCACTCACCGGTCTTGTCGAGTATCCGCTAGTGTTGCCGAGCACTCACTAGCCGTGCCGACCACGAACAAGCGTTGTTCGTCCCCCACACTATGGCTGGAGCTAGAAGAAAAAGGAAGAACAGAGCAAGCACACGCAATACAAGACACGGCGTTGGCGAAGCCACATGCGTGAGATGACAAATCTAAACTCTCTTTACTAAGTTGCCGTGGTATCCTATTTATATAACTCTATCATTCTAGTTCTAGTACAGTTGTCATGTTACTATAGGAACTAGATAACATCTCTGAGGCTAACTTCTGTCTTAAGCCCTTTGCATGTAGCTCTGAGATCTGCCAGGTGTGAGCGTGTGGCGTCTGCACTGCGGCAGCGCTCTGATATCACAACAGGGGGCCTTTCCGACGCCGCCTACCCTTGCTGTGTTCACACAAGGTAACAATGGATTATCTAACAATCTTTCCTTAATCCTACTGCTAACCCTTGTACCCCCTCCATGCCGATCATCTCCTTCAGCTCCGTGAGTCGAAGACGTCCGAGCGACTTGGTGAGGACGTCCGCGAGTTGCCGACCAGTTTCGACGAACTCGATGACGATTTGCCCTCCATCAACACAGTCCCTGAGGAAGTGGAACTTTACGTCGATGTGTTTACTCCGGTCGTGCAGAACCGGATTCTTCGCGAGGGCGATGGCGGGCTGGTTGTCCACTATCAGTGCTGGTGGGTGAGCTTCCTCGCCGGTCAGCTCGCTCAACAGCCGGCGTAGCCACACAACTTGGCACACCGCTGTGGTCGCCACTACGTACTCTGCCTCGCACGTAGATAGCGCCACCACCTTTTGTTTCAGCGACAGCCATGAAATTGGAGCCGACCCGAGGAAGACGAGCACGCCAGATGTGCTCCGCCGTCCGTCGATGTCCCCCGCCATGTCTGCATCGCTGAAGACAGTGAGCTGCAGCCTACTTCCGCCGGTCTTGGGGAAAACGATCCCGTGATCCACCGTCCCCTTGATGTAGCGTAGTAGCCGCTTCACTGCAGCCCAGTGATCCACTCTGGGATCCTTCATGAAGCGACTGACGTAGCCCACGGCGAACGTGATGTCCGGCCTCGTGTGGACTAGGTAGCGTAGACCGCCGACGATGTTCTGGTAGAGTGTTGCATCCACCTTCGCCGCGGTACTGGCCTTCGTCAGCTTCAGCCGCTCCTCCATCGGAGTCACGCATAGTTTGCACTCAGCCATGCCGCTCCGCTCCAACAGCTTGGAGGCGTACGCGCTCTGACCGAGCGTGAGTGCCTCCCTCCCTTGTCTCACCTCAATGCCGAGGTAGTAGGTGAGTGCCCCGAGATCGCTCATTCGAAAACGAGCCGCCATCTCGCGCTTGAAGCTGCCGATGTCCTCTGTGCGCACGCCGGTGACGATCAAGTCGTCCACGTACACGCCGACGATGAGCTCCTCCTTCCCCCGTCGCCGCGTGTAGAGCGCGTGCTCAGTTGCGCACCTTTGAAACCCAAGCTC